CCATCCAATGGTTTTCGTTTCAAAAAATTTCAGTCTCTTTGGAGCCCTAGAATCTAAAGTTATTAGGATGAATGAAAAAAATTGATACTGAATAATACAATATTATAACAGACTTCAATTACGTTGGAGTTTTCTTTTTCATTCAAAGGAAATATTTAATTATTGTGTTAAAAGCAATTGTTTTTTGTTTGTAACTATATGTTTATTGCTAAACACTGCTGTTTACTTCTCAATGAGAGTCGTCTATTGTATGTTTTAAAATTTCTTAGATTGTAAAGTATATTAGAAATAATTTTATTCAAAAAACTAATATTTTTAAATGATGATTTCATTTTTTTTTAAATATGAATTCTGGTAAAATAAATTGCAAAAGCTAAAGTTCTAATTTAGTCTTATTTAACTTTGTCTAACTAGTTTTTGTACTCTATGATAGAAATTCTTTATTCATATTAAAATTTGGAAAAACTTCAAGTAAAATTGTATTGAATAACATCTCAGAATATTTATTAACATGTAGAAATTGATCACTTGATCATATATTTCAATCGGGTGGGTGTGGGTGATGTTTGTCTTGTCTTCATACACACATTCACACCCACACACCCCACACCCACCCCATCCACACCCACCCACACCCCACACCCACACCCCACCTACACCCTATTCCCACCACACCCACACCCACCCACACCCACCCACACCCACACCCCACCCACACCCTACTCCCACCACACCCACACCCAAATTACATCAAAGAGTGTAACTGTGAAATAAAATTTAAACATTTACAATAGAAGATTGTTGAAATAATAATAAAAAGACAAGACAAACAGATCTAAAAGAACACTTGATAAAATACGAATTTTTGCAAATTTCTATTAATAACAAAATTGTTTTTTTTTTGCCTTGTCATAAATTTGAAAAAAATTTAAAAAAAAAGAATTTAAACATATTTAATCTATGAGACATTAAGTTTTCATTGTTTTTAAAAGAATTCTAAGAAAATTTTTCATAGAAATATTAAAAAAAGATAAGTGAAACAATTTTGAAGATTTATATAAGACTCGAAAATAATCATTTTTTGTTATAATTGAGATCTTATTCAATTTGTTTTGTTAATCATTGAAGAGCAATAAAAGATCTTTCGATACATATACATATATCTCAAAGTTTTCTTTGGATGATACTTCAAACGGAAAACAAATTAATTTGAATAACATCGAAAAATTGAAAAAAGTTCGAATGACTTTCTCAGTATTAAATATTCATAGAAAATTGAAAAGTTATTTTATTCTCATTGATAAAAAGAATTTTTCAATGTTGATATTTAGAAAATAGATATAGTAAATCAAACTTTGAAATATTATTAGAAATTTCAATAAAAAATATCATTATTAATAAATTATGAAAAAAAAACCTGTTTTAATTTTTTGTCAACTATTTACTCAAACTATTCTTGTTTTATCTTAAACTTACGGTAAATCACATATTTTAATCTTTTTTATGTATTTTATAAACTTGTTTAAAGTTATAATTATCTATTAAGATCAGTAAGAAGAATTTTTTGTTTGAGACTTAGAATATTGATATTTTTGGTTTATAATGAAGAGATTTTTGGATGGTTTACTTTTCTATTAAAAAAAAACAGAATAGATTGGAATTCTCAAGCATAAAATTGAATAATATTAAATGAAAAAGAGAAGAAATGATTTTATAATTATACTTCTATTGATTGTTGAGATATTCACCAAATAAATGTCAAATAAAGACAAAGCAATACGTTATAAACTAAGATTGATTATAATTTTTTCAATGAAATCGTTTTAAAATAATATCGATATAGTTAATTTATTGATGATAAAATCTTTTAATAATTCTCTTAAGTTCTTCATCTGAAAAAATTGTGATATTATATTAAGATATTCTATCCAATTAAATTTTTTTCTTTTTATATCAAATACAAAGATTAAATTATTACCAAGTTTTTATTTTCTTATGACTGAAGAATATATGCTCATAATTATTATTCAGATTTTAACGGTCGATTGAAAAGTATTTTGCACAACTTTAAAATTCTTATTTCTTGCGTTTTACTCATGCTTTATTTCTGATTTTTTTTACACAACATGCACACGCTATGGGCATATAGAATTACATAATCAAACAATCGAAAACAGTTTTTTTTCTTCCCATTGTCCTAAGTTTGCTTGAAGGTCAATTTTCTGCGTTTAAACAATATTAATGTTAATTATATTTTAGTTTCTAATAAATTCATCTTTTCAATTGTACCTCTATTTGTGTCCTTCAATGATTATCATGAATTTTATCAAGAAACATTGAACAAAACTCTTGTATGAGTCAAACTCTATAAGCATTTGGTATGTTGTTCCAGTTTGCCATAAACTTGATTTTTGTCCTGCAACAACTAGTGATGATATACCATTTGTTCAATTCGATGATATAGGTTTTACCCGAACTATTGAGTAATGTTTAGGTAAGCTTCTGTCATTTATCCAAATACACTTTGCTAAAAATGCATATATTTCCGATAACTTTAGCATCATCGAATTAGACAAATTATACAGTGGGTACCAAAATTGATCAATCACCTTAATGAACTTTTTTGTTTTGTTCATACCTCAGA